CTCTTTCACCTCATTTCTACACTTTTGGTTTTCTATTTTTTTCCTCTCACAGTTCAAGGTATCAATAACTCAATTTTTCTTTTTGTCCCCAACCTCTAAGACTTCAATATCTCCACCAACCACCTTTCTAATGAGATACCCTAAAATAAGAGAGGGTGTTTGGTGGGTTTGTATAGAATGAAGTGAATTTGAAATTATGAGAAGATGAAAAGACTTAACATAATAAAGAGACCAACAAATTGTTAATTCGAGTAATACCGAACTCGGTCTCTTTAAATAAGGTTTTAAGTTCAAATTTTGTATATAAAAAATGTTGAAAGGAAAGATTTTATTAAAAATGGTTAGTCAAATTCCCCAAAATAATGAAGAGAGAACAATAATAATTTAGATAGAGTCATATTTAATTAAACAATAAAAATTGATTGATAGTAAATAATTAATACACATCAACATGTACAAATTTTTAATCTTTTAATAATTATTGATTATTTTAAAATAGTAAATAATTATCGAATGATTAAAACATATTTAAGTTTAAAAAACATTACAAATATGATGATAATAAAAATTTAATTTTTTTTTCAAACATAAGTTAATAATTCTTTTTTTTTTTATATAGCAATTTGAATAATATTTTAAAATTAAAAAATTCCACGTGATCTTATGGCACCAAAAACCACCGATTTTTAAGGGCATGGACGCCAGTAATTAATGGTAAAGGTAAACTAATAAACTTGTTGAAATCGAAGTGAACTAGCCTCTTACCCGAAACTCGAGATTTTCTTCTGGTCCTCATCCGACAAGAGAGTCGCCGATATTTCACTCCCATCCACATTCCACACTCTTCACTCTTCACTCTTCACTCTTCACTCACCGCATTGCACATGTTTGTGAAATTGTCTCAATGACCCTCTCCTCCCTCCACTCCCACGCTCATCCTCTTCCCTGCACCTTAGTAACCCACCACCACACAACAACCCCATTCTCTTTCTCATTCCCCTTCTCTCCCACTCTCCGCTGCCCCCTCCTCTCCGCCACCGCCTCCGCCTCCCACCACCCTCTCCCCCCGGACTTCTCCCCCTCCCAGCTCCTCGACCTCCTCCGCCGCCAACCGGACTCCTCCTCCGCGCTCCGCCTCTTCCAATGGGCCTCGGCCCAGCCCAGCTTCGCCCCCCACCCCTCCATCTTCCACGAACTCCTCCGCCACCTCAGCAGCGCCGGCTCGGTGGACTCCATGGTCTCCCTCCTCCACCAAATGAAAACCTCCTCCTGCCCCCTCGACGCCTCCACCTTTCTCACCCTCATCGAAACCTGCGCCACCTTCCACCTCCACCACCGCATCAACGACGTCGTTCACCTCATGGAACACGACTTCGGCGTCATCCCCGACACGCGCTTCTACAACGTGGCGCTCGGCCTCCTCGTCAAGGCCAACAAGCTCAAACTCGTGGAGACGCTGCATTCGAAAATGGTCACTGACGGGGTCACCCCCGACGTGTCCACTTTCAACGTCCTCATTCGGGCCCTCTGCAAGGCCCACCAGCTTCGGCCCGCGATCCTCATGCTCGAGGACATGCCCAATTACGGCCTCAGGCCCGACGAGAAAACGTTCACCACGCTCATGCAGGGCTTCATCGAGGAGGCTGACTTGGACGGCGCCTTGAGGATTAAGGATCTCATGGTGGAGTCCGGGTGCGCGCTCACCAGCGTTTCCGTCAACGTTTTGGTCAACGGCCTTTGCAAAGAGGGTAGGGTTGTGGAAGCTTTGACCTTTATTCATGATGAACAAGGGTTTATCCCTGATCAGGTTACTTTCAATGCTTTGGTTAATGGGTTGTGTAGGACTGGACATATTAAGCAAGGTTTGGAGATGATGGATTTCATGCTTGAGAAAGGCTTTGATTTGGATGTTTACACTTATAACTCTCTTATCTCTGGCTTGTGTAAATTGGGTGAGATTGATGAGGCCGTTGAAATTCTCCACCACATGGTTTCCAGAGATTGTTCGCCCAATACCGTAACTTATAACACGCTGATTAGTACATTGTGTAAGGAGAATCACGTCGAAGCTGCCACTGAGCTTGCCCGTGTTCTTACTAGCAAGGGGATTGTGCCTGATGTTTGTACATTCAATAGTTTGATACAGGGTTTGTGTTTGACGAGTAATCGGGAGATTGCGATGGAGTTGTTTGAGGATATGAAGGAGAAAGGGTGTGAGCCGGATGAGTTTACGTATAGTATCTTGATTGAGAGCTTGTGTTCAGAGAGGAGGCTTAAGGAAGGGTTGATGCTGCTCAAGGAAATGGAGTCTAGTGGCTGTGCGAGGAATGTGGTGGTGTATAATACTTTGATTGATGGTTTGTGCAAGAACAATAGGGTTCGGGAGGCAGAGGAGATCTTTGATCAGATGGAAATGTTGGGGGTGTCGAGAAGTTCGGTCACATATAATACCCTTATTAATTGCCTGTATAAGAGCAAGAGAGTGGAAGATGCTGCTCAGCTTATGGATCAGATGATAATGGAAGGGTTAAAGCCTGACAAGTTCACTTATACTTCAATGCTTAAGTACTTTTGCCAACAAGGGGATATAAAGAAGGCAGCTGATATTGTGCAAAATATGACTTCAAATGGGTGCGAACCAGACATTGTTACCTATGGGACCCTTATTGGGGGGCTGTGTAAGGCAGGTAGAGTAGACGTTGCAAGTAAGCTCCTCAGATCTGTTCAGATGAAAGGTATGGTCTTGACTCCACAAGCATATAACCCCGTGATTCAGGCACTCTGCAAAAGGAAGAGAATGAAAGAAGCCATGAGGCTTTTCAGAGAAATGATGGAAAAGGGTGATCCTCCGGACGCTATAACGTACAAGATTGTTTTCCGTGGCCTCTGTAATGGTGGAGGGCCGATACAAGAGGCTGTTGATTTTACGGTTGAGATGTTGGAGAAAGGAATATTGCCAGAGTTCCCATCATTTGGTTTCTTGGCTGAAGGCCTTTGTTCTTTATCCATGGAGGACACCCTCATTGAACTCGTCAATATGGTGATGGAGAAAGCAAGATTCTCACAAGCTGAAACATCTATTATCAGAGGCTTCCTCAAGATTCGGAAATTTAATGATGCATTAGCTAATCTTGCTGGTATCCTGGATAGGAAAAAGCCCAGAAGATTTTGAGCGGTGAAAGGCTTTGTTTTAAGTGCACTCTGGTGATGGTTTTAAGAATGTAATGGGAAAGTTCCTCATTGCATAAAGGTGCTGAAGCATATGGGGGAGTTCAAAATCCAGGACTCAAGTCTATATTATAGACTTGGAGTCAATACATTTCAGCACTAGTGTTGCATTCATCTGGCTGGCATCATCGATGAATACCACTTATTCGGCCTCATTATTTCCTGTTTCAAGGGGGAAATATGAACTTGTAACTTGTACCTAGCATTCATATGAATATTTCTTAGTGGATTTAAAGCATAAGAAAGGAGTAGATTCACTTCTTAATTTTAACTATTTTAATGCCAGGATGAGAATAACATGTTTATATTTGACTTGGATTAGGTATGCTCATTAAGAGTCAAGTCAGTCTCAAATTGGTATTATGGTTAAATATGAAAGAAATAATATTCTAAAGATCTAAACATGGCAAAATTAAAACCCATGAGCAAATTATTGAAGTTGGGTTAAATGAACAACTTTCTACTATTATTGAAGATATTGATGATTCTAGGCCAACTAAGAAGCTTAAAACAACCACGTCTAAAGTTTAGGATAATTTTACTAAACTTGGGGTAAAAGATGGTAAAGAAAAGCTAAATGCAACCATTGTGGTAATGGATATGTTTGTGGTGGTATAAAAATAGGAACTTCATCCATGTTACGTCATTTGCAAAAGTGTGACATCTTAAAGCAAAAACAAAAATCTGCACAAATTGGAAATATGATAATTGATCAAGCTGGCAAGCTGAGGTCTAGAGAAATAGATCAAAAACATTTTGAAGATTTGCTTTCAAGGGCTATTATTGAACATGGGTTATCATTTAGTTTTGTTGAGTATAAGTGGATTAGAGAGTTATTTTTGTATTTATATCCTGGGTTAAGAATTCCTAGTAGGAATACAGCTGTTTCTAACCTTTGGAGGATTCATGATGAAGAAAAAGTAAAGGTGAAAAATGCAATGCGTAAAGCTAATAGTAGGATTTGCTTAACATCTGACTGTTGGACATGCATAACTCAGGAAGGATACATTTGTGTAACTGCTCATTTTGTTGATTCTAATTGGAAACTGAATAGTAAGATTCTTGCCTTCTCTAAGTTAGATCCTCCACATGGTGGTCATGAAATGGCAAAAAAAATCTTTGAAATCTTGCTTGATTGGGGGATAGATAGGAAAGTGTTTTCCATAACTTTGGACAATGCAAGTGCCAATGACACAATGGTAAATTTCATGAAAACACAATTTAATTTGCAAAATAGTTTGATTTGTAATGGCTCATATTTTCATGTGAGATGTAGTGCACATATACTAAACCTCATTGTTCAAGAGGGTTTGGGGGTGGCTAGTGGTGCTTTGAAAAAAATTAGAGAGAGTATAAAATATGTAAGAGGATCAGAAGCTAGAAAGATTGCTTTTAAAGAATGTGTGCTTCAAGTGAGGGGTATTGATACTAAGGTGGGTTTGAGAATGGATGTGCCCACTAGATGGAATTCCACTTATGTTATGCTTGATAGTGCAATTAAATACAAACGTGCATTTGGTTGTTTGGCTATTCGAGATAGGAATTATGTTCATTGCCCATCAGATGATGAGTGGAATAGGGCTGCAAGAATGTGCGAGTTCTTGAAGCCTTTTTTTGTCATGACAAATTTGATATCAGGCTCCACTTATCCAACATCTAATCGGTACTTTATGCAAGTTTGGAAAATTGAAAAATTGTTGCGTGAATTTGTTATGTGTGAAGATCTAGTGATTAAAGAGATGGCTTCAAAAATGATGACTAAGTTTTCAAAGTATTGGCATGATTATTGTGAGATTCTTGCCATTGGTGCTATTCTTGACCCACGAATGAAGTTTGGAGCTATTCAGTTTGCTTATAGAAAAATTGAGCCTTCAACTTCTGAAGAGAAAATTAGTGCTTTAAGAAAGAAAATTTATGAACTGTTTGAAGAGTATGAAAAAGTAAAATCAAATGAGTCAAATGCTTCAACTTCTAATGTGTCTCTTCTTCCACCACAACCAATTTCATATACAGATGATGAGCAAGTACTTGATACCTTTGATGTAAGTTAATAATTTTTTTAAGTACTTTATTTAATTTCATTTTTATTTAGTAATTATCATTGAATAATGAATATTGAATTTATTTTTCTTTGTAATGTCTTAGGAATATGTTGATTATTTGAGCCAAAATGTTACTACTAATGGAAAATCTGAATTGGATCTATATTTGGAGGAAGGAAATCTTGATCCAAAGTGTCATGAAAAGTTAGATGTGTTAGCTTATTGGAGGGATCGTCATGATCGTTATCCAAACCTCTCTCGGATGGCTTGTGATGTGCTGAGTATTCCAATCACTACAGTTGCTAGTGAATCTGCTTTTAGTCTTGGGATTTATAAATTAAACTTCAATAAAAATAAGTATACTCACAAATAGTAACAAATGACGACAATCATGATTGTTTCGGTCAATGATAACAATTGTGTTAACATTGATTTGTAGTGGATAGGGGTGGGCAACAAAAAATAAACTGAACTGAACAAGTGGTAAACTGAATTGAATTGTACTATAAAAAAACTAAACTGTTTGTAAAAAAAACTGAATTGAATTGTTTTAAAAAAACTGAACTGTTGGAAAGTTGAAGTGTACTGAACTATAAAAACTGAGCTAAATTATAAAAATTAAACTATTTTTATAAAAGGATAAAAATTAAATGTGTCTAACATGTTTTGTCTTAATGGATTAACTCGATAGTTTAATGATCAAAACTTTGGAAAAAAAAGTGATTCGAAAAAAATTGTATCAATTTTGTCGAACCTAACGGATCAATTGAACTATGTTGGACAACTTATTATTAGGCTTTTAAAATTTACTGAGTTTGTTTGACTCAATTTTATATTTTTTTCCTTTGAAAATTTTAAATAAAATGGAAAATAAAGTAAAGTTGACAATTGTGTCCTATCTTGACAGACCAACGAGTCAAAATTGTTCAATTCAAAATATCATAATAGTTCAGTACAGTTTGAATTGTGTAACACCCTCGTTTTCATACCTTATAATAAGAGAATTGACTTCTATTATCAAGGAAAGGAGCTCTCAAAGCATGGGAACAACATGTTATGACATCAGAAGACCCAAAGCCTAATAAGGGTGTTCTAGTAGCCAAGAACAGGCTGTTCCCAAAACGAAACGGGTCGTTCCCAAAACTGGAACAGGGCGTTCCCAAACTAGAACGGGGCGTTCCAAACTACTAAAAAGGTTTAAAACCCTAGTTGAGAACGGGTCGTTCCAAACATGGCCGTTATGAATTAAACTTAACTCCAGAACGGGCCGTTTTGGTTTAAGAACGGACCGTTCTAGATGCGAATTTAACACATGATGAAAGAATCCAGAACAGGCCGTTCTGGATCCGAAACGGGCCGTTCTGGCCACTTTGGACATCTATAAATAGCAGACTCTAGCACTGCTCCTAGACACACTCTTTGAAGACCAAGGAGAATCAAGAGAAGGAGATCAACTAGATTTTGCTCTAGCTTCATCTTCTGCTTATCCAGGTAAGGGGGAGTGAGAAACCTTGCTCGGGGCTGTGAGAATAATTTTTGGGTAGCAAGATTGGCCCCCAATCCCTTGCCTTATGTATGCCTATAGGAACAGACACTTTATGAAAGTTTTGTATTTTGCTTTCTGATTGTTCTGTTGTGTTCCTTGTTGGATGTGATGTATGAATATGTGATTAATTTTGAAAATAAACAAGTTTTGATATGAATTAGAGTACTCTATGGATTCTTGTAGGAAACCCTATGAAGTGAAATTAGGGATATGATCTTTAGATGAATTTTGAGGCATTATATGTAAAATTGGTGATGGATTCATATTTTGGATAATTTCTGAGTAAGGTTATGTGTTATTTTGTATATGAATACGAGAAGTTCTTTGTATGAGACTATGTTAATATGACATGAAAATGTGAAAAGTAAACATATGATCTATGATATGATATTATGTGACATAAGATACGATGAGACGTGATAAGTGGAATGTTGAGTCAATGAAATAGTGAATGTGTGACATGCATCATGTGCATATATGATTCCAGGTGTACCTTGGATCACTAGTGATGAAATGATTTATTCCAGGTACGCCGCTTAGGCCGCATACTAGTGATGTAACAAGTTATTACAGGTGTACCTTGGATCACCAGTGATGAAATAATTTATTCTAGGTGTGCCGCTTAGGCCGCACACCAGTGATGTAACAAGCTATTCCAGGTGTACCTTGGGTCACTAGTGATGAAATGATTTATTCCAGGTGTGCCGCTTAGGCCGCATACCAGTGATGTAACAAGCTATTCCAGGTGTACCTTGGGTCACTAGTGATGAAATGATTTATTTCAGGTGTGCCGCTTAGGCCGCATACCAGTGATGTAACAAGCTATTCCAGGTGTACCTTGGGTCACCAGTGATGAAATGATTTATTCCAGGTGTGCCGCTTAGGCCGCATACCAGTGATGTAACAAGCTATTCTATAGGAACAGACACTTTATGAAAGTTTTGTATTTTGCTTTCTGATTGTTCTGTTGTGTTCCTTGTTGGATGTGATGTATGAATATGTGATTAATTTTGAAAATAAACAAGTTTTGATATGAATTAGAGTACTCTATGGATTCTTGTAGGAAACCCTATGAAGTGAAATTAGGGATATGATCTTTAGATGAATTTTGAGGCATTATATGTAAAATTGGTGATGGATTCATATTTTGGATAATTTCTGAGTAAGGTTATGTGTTATTTTGTATATGACACGTTGTTTCCTTTTACGTGGTTGTTGCAAACGTGTTACTGTTGCAAAAAAGGTTTTTCAAAATGACGTATATGCCAACAAAATACAGCAAGCTTTTTACGGTAAACTTCAAATTAGAATATGCTTCCAAGTATAAGTAAACATCAAATGCTAACCCTGTATCCCATTCGAGCAATCATGTGTTGGATAAGTTGTTTCCCCAAAATGTAATCAACTAGTCAATACAAACGCCATGCCTGTTCTATATTTCATGCATTTGGAAGCTCGATTCTACTGTTGGTGAATGTATACTTCAAACTTTTAGAATTCTTAAGTAGTTTGGTTCTTAGGGGGTGTTACCGCCCAGTTTTTGGGTCTGACTGTCTGAGACAAAACATCCCTCGAGGTCGAGGTCGAGGCACTAAAGTTGCCTCTTCCAACTCTCCTGCAGGTTCATATACCTGACATTGCAGGACCCTTAATTGCTGAACATGAGCTTGCTGACCCCTTGAA